ATCTAGACTAGTACTAATTATATTAGTCTATGCGTTGTATTGCATAGACTAATAATTAGTTTATTACTAGATCTTTTAGCAATTGTAGAAAGAGAGATAAAAAGATAAGAGTTATTAAATTACGTAATAACTCTAATATTAACTAGGCTAAGACAAATAAAGGTGTTTTAGAATCTTCTAGTGTAGTAGATTAAAACTAGCTACTAAAATCTTAATTACGTAAGCAATTAGATTTACTAGAAATTTTTCTAATTTATTAAGAAATAATAATAAGTGCAATCTTAACAAAGCTTAATAATAAAAAGATAATAATAACTAAGTTATTATAATCTTTACATAATTATATAATAAGTTTATAAGATAAAATAACTATATTACTATAGTAATATATACTAAATTAATATTAAAATTATTTAGTAGTTCTAAAAAAGACTAGCTTAAAGTTTTTTAATATCTTTTAATATCTTTAAATATTATTTTACTATAAAGATAAGTAAATTAGGCTTAAGGTACTAGTAAGATATAATATACCTAAATATCTCTAACGTTTTATTATCTTTTAAGCTTAAATAATAACTTAAATAATTAATTATAGCTTATATAAAAGTAATTAAAATAGTAAATCTATTAAGGTAAAGTATTAATATAGAGTAGAGTAATAAAATATAGTTAGTAACTTTATATTATAATCTTAATATAGGTATATTTTTTAAATATCTTATACTTACTATATAAAGCTATAATAATTAATAAAACTCTTTCTATACTATTTACTATAAATATAGTATCTTAATAATAATAATAATAATATACTTATAAGAGATAATAGTAAAAAAGGCTTTTTTAAAGAACTTAAGAGTAAACTTAGAAGTAGTAATAAGTAAGCTATAAAGCTATAAGCTATAAAAATATTAAAATTTAAAAAATCTATATCTAAATAAGCTTTTAAAGCTAAGTAGATACTAATAGTAATAGTAAATAGCTTTTATTAGTAGAAGAGCTAAAAGTTAGAAAGTAGTATAGTATTAAATAAAAGCTTCTTTATTAGCTATAAAGCTAAGTAGATAACTATAGTTATAATACTATTATAGAGGTTAATACTATAGTTTAAAGAATAGTAGCCTAGAAAGAAATTATATAAAGCTTTATATATAAAGAATACTTCTTTTTATTTTATATCTTTTTTTAATACTTTTATATACTTTAAAACTTCTAAAAATCTACTAATATATCTACTAAATATAAAAAACTTCTTATACTAAACTTCTTTTTTATACTTATAATAAAGGCTCTAGTTTTTATATATATCTAAATAATAGGTGTAATAGAATATACTATACTAGTAAACCTTACTAGCTATATATATAGTATATTTAACTTTTTAGTTATTTTTAGAAACTTTAAAATAAAAAACTTATAAAATATAGCTATAAAAATAGAGCTAGAAAAGAGCTTTTATTAAAATAGTAAGAAGTAGATAAGTATAATTACTACTTATAAAAGACGCTTTATAGCTTTATATATTATAAGTATATACTATTTTACTTTAATAACTTTTTATTATAATATTATAATAATTATAAAGAAATAGTTTAATTAGCTTAGTATATTAGATTAAAAGCTAGATAGTTTAGAGCTAGTAACCTAAGATAAGCTTAACTTTATTAAGCTTATAGTAAGTAATATTTTTTTTAGCTAAAAATAAGTAGTACTTTACTAGCTATATAAAGTAGTATATATATAGTATAGTATTAGACTATACTAATAGACGCGTAATAATAAATAGAATAAATAGTTAGTATACTAAAGAATAGTATAATATAGCTAATATAGCTAAGCTTATAAGTAATTATATATAAAATATAAGTTACTAGTAATTCTATAAGTATTATATAAGTATTATATAGATATCTTAGATTAGTTTAGAAGCTTTATACTAATAGTAAGCTTACTAGATTATTTTTTAGTATTACATAATTATATAAAGCTAGTACTAGTACTAGTTAATAGTCTAGATAGCTATTAGTAATATATAATAAATATAAAGTAGTTTATTTATTATAATTATATATATAGTAATTATTATAAAAATAGTATAAGTATAAGTATTATAAGTTATAAATTTAGACTTATATTAGAGATTTTTAAAGTTTACTTTTAGAGTCTAATATAGTAATATATTATTATATAATTATATAATTATATAATTACTTAATTTTAAAAAAAGTACGCTATAGGCTCTATTTCTTAGATATAGAGAGAAAATAGTAAATCTATAAAAACCTTATAAAATAGTAATATAGTAAAAAAAAAAGAAAGTAATAAATATATTAATAATAGAAACGCTTTATAAAGCTTTAGTGTATAAAATAATATAACTAGTAATAAAATTAGCTTTAGACTTTTTAATACTTAGAAAACTTATAAAAAAGTAGAAATTTAGTTATAATTCTTTTTAGAATTCTATTATAGCTTTTAGAGTTAGTTTTAAGCTACTATCTACTATAATAAGTTATTATATATAGTTTGTATTAATAGCATTATATATAGAAACCTTAAGAAGAGAATCTAGAAGTTAATATATGTTTGTAGATATAGACTACAGCGCGAGATTGTATTCTTGTAAGAGTAACAGAGTATACTTGTATAGAGTTCTGCTTACTACACTAGCGACCTTTAGAAGGCTATCGCACGTCGTCTTAATAGCGGTGAAAGATTAGTATTCAAAGGACCGACTACGGGGTTTCGCGTCAGCACGAGCGGCGCTTCTGTTCGTCCGTAATTTCCCATGTACACAAAGCCGCAAGAGCTATATATACCTGACCTGTTGAGCCTGTTCCTGACAGCACGCGTCTTGGTTTTTAGTTCTCGGAATTGCGACAATGCTGTCTCTATCTCTCATTTCACTCCTTTGCCCCGTCGTACTCGCAGCGAGCTCTGGCTGTGGAACTCGCTTGCCCTCGGGGCTCACACCGGGCAAATCTACTACCAATGTCACTTTGTCTTCGAAATCGGTGATCGGCAAGACGACCGAGCGCCAATACATCTTACACCTGCCATCCAAGTACAAGGCCTCGAATGATGAAGCGTTGCCTCTTGTGATTGCGTTCCATGGCCAACAACAGCCCGCAAGAAGCATGGAGGTCATCAGCGAGCTGTCCAATCCTGACTTCAACCCAAACACCATCGTGGTGTATCCGGAGGGCATGAATGTCCAAGCACCTGGCGTAAGTCACGATCAGAGCGAGGATTGAGGGATCTTACAAGGCACGAAGGCTAACTTTAACGTGTAGGTGCAATGGTTAGGCGACCCGTTGGCCCCAACTTCCACTGTGATCGATGATCGAATCTTTGTCACCGAACTTCTTGCACACCTGACAGCGACCTTATGCATCGATGAGAGCCGCGTTTACGCCGCAGGCCTTTCTAACGGTGGCGGATTGACTGGACTTCTCATGTGCGATGCGGAACTCAACAAGAAGTTCGCTGCATTCGCAACCGTGGCGGGCGCGTTCTATCCTGATTCAAGCTTGACAGAACCTCTCTTTGAGAAAGAATGCATTCCGAACTTACAGGATAGGGTACTCCCTTACATGAACTTGCACGGGCTGAACGATAGCGTGGTCCCCTACGACGGCAGCAGCCCAACCCCACCACCTTTCATCCCAGTACTGAGTTGGGTTGAGAGCTGGGCGAAGCGTGACAATTGCGCGAGCAACCCCTCAACGAAGCAACTGGAAAACGGAAGCGTTGCGGAGAGTCGATGGCGGTGTAACGATGTTGATGATGTCGTTGTTCACAGAGCGATCCAGGGGTTTGGTCACGGCTGGCCGAGTCGCAAGAATCAAGGCGAGCCTTTCGAAACACTAAGGAACGGGCCCACATCATGGGATGCGACGCCATACATGTTGGATTGGTTCGCACGATGGTCTTTGTAATTCTTCACGATCTACGCTATCATCAATAAACTCGAGCGAGCTCGCAACGATGTCTGACCATCTCGCAGTCGGTTTAAGTGATGCTGTACTACGTTGACTCTTCTTCTTCTTCGTCGTGCACTTTGGATTTCTTGAGCTGCGGAAGTTCGATCGCGGACACTAGTATGTTCACGATGATGAACATGGCGATTGCCGAGATGAAGACCAGTCGCAGACTACGGCTGTATGCTTCAATGACTAGGGAAGAGATCAGCATCAATGCTATAAGAGAGCAGCGACTTGGTATCGAGCTTGAAGGCAGGGGAAACGCGCGCCCCGCAGTAAGTAAAACTGACCTTGACTTTTGTGCTTAGCATCAAGGTCGATTATGCTGCGTACCGATTTGCGAACGTGTTGAATGATCTGCGGGAGGGTATTAGCGCTGATCGATGAGAGCAATGACAGCATGAAGGCAGTCTGCATAGATCCACTACCCAGACGACGACGTTCGGAGCAAGGCACAAGTGAAAGACATGCTGGAGTCGCGCAGTGCGGGTGATGAGCTTTCCCTAGTTATCCGCAACTAACTGCGTCGAAGACATCGTAACACCGCTAGCTGGAATCAGAATGGTACATACCTTCGCCTTATTGTGACCGGTGACCAGTGCTTCGAGGTACGAGGTCAAAGCATTCTGTAGAATGAGGCTGCTCAACGAGACACCCATGACAATACCGAGACTGCGCCACAAAATGAGTGTGCTGGTCATGACTGCTTGATCTTCTTGTGTACTTGTTGCAAGTACCGCGAGACTTGTTGCTGGGAAACTGAGCCCTTGACCGATGCTAGATGGAACCAGGAAGATGGTGGCAAGCCACTTGGGAATACCATCCCACATCAGGGAAAGACATGTAGCGCCCAACAGCATCGAAAGTGAGCCAACAACGATGAGCCACTTCATCCGACCAGTGGCGGTCATGATGAAGCCTGCAGACACGCCGCAAATCGTCAAAGCAACGGAAGGGCCAGCAAGACGAAAACCGGAGACAGATGCTGTCTCGAGCTCAACCGCTTGAAAGTACAAGGGCGCATTGAACAAGATGGTGTTCATGCCAACCTGTGCAAAGAAATTGTTGAAGACCAGATTGCCTCGGGGCTTGCTAAACAGCATGGGCAGAGGCATGACCGCTCGCGCAGCTCTAGACTCGACTTTAACGAGAACGGCGCCTGTCACGAGTGCGATGACGAGCGATACGATAACGATCCAGTGCTTCCATGGGTACACATTGCCTCCGAGATTGAGCCCTAGTATAAGAAAGGCGACGGATACCGTCAGCAAGATGGATCCAGCGATATCGAAACCCTTCAAGCCTTCTTTCAGACCTAGTCCATAGCGTTTGGCTAAATTTGGGCCGAGCGAAGAAGGCGTGGTGAAAATGGCGTTTATGAAAAGTATGACAAGGATAGGTATCTGTATGGCAAAAGTCATCCGCCATCCTAACTTGTCGCATAGAAAGCCGCCAAAAGCTGCCCCGCAAGCAGATCCGCCTCCGTAGAAGAGGTTGATGTATGCCTGGTAGGTACCCCGTACTTCAATGCTGACTAGGTCATTGGTCATGATGTTACCCATCGATAGAACACCAGCTGCGCCAATGCCGCAAAAGGCTCGGGCGGCGATGAAGCTACCAATCGTCTGCGCAAAAGAGCACCATGCGGTCGTAGCTGCGAGAACGACGAGACCAGCCAGATACAATGGTCGACGACCCAGAGTATCTGACAGTCGGCCCATAAGCGGCTGCAGCGAGGTTGATGTGAGTAAGAAGGCTGTTGAAAGCCATGAGGCTGAATTTGATGCATGGAAGTACGATGTGATGACTGGATGACTTGATGCCATGAGAGTGGAGTCAAACATGGCAATCTGTCGTTACATGATTAGTATGCGCAGCCATGTTGGAAATTTGCAGGTAGACTCACGAAGTAACCAAGTAGAATACCACCAAACACGAACCTAAACCTCCACTCTCCAACACCTTCTAATTTCCCATTCTTTTGAAACTTGGTCAGGCTCTCTGTCTCATCCGTGATTGGGGGCACATGGCCAGGGTCGACAGATTCAGTAAGTGAGCCGGTTCTCGCTTTCTGCGATATTGGGAACTGAGGCGCAGCGCCTTGACCCTGTTGCGCTACTTCTGCGGTGGTGATTGCATCTTCGGTGACGGGGGTGTTTGCCGATGTAGAGCGAAGTAGCGGTGTTCGCTCGGACGCAGATGACGGCATGGTAGCACGATCGAGGTGCCGAAGAACTATGCGCAATACTTCTTTTATGTTCCAGCGCGGACGAGTCGGCGCAAAACTGAGTGACGCGAAGATGAAGTTTCCAGGTAGCTAGACCCCTGGAGGCTGATAAGCTTTAGATGCAGGTGGGTACCAGCCGGATTGCGCTAGTGTTTCCGAACTCGCCGTCCCTTTTCCGCTGTCAAAGACGGCGTCACCTTGCACAACTCGCAACATTGACTTCTGGAAAAATGAAGACGCCATTGCGGATAGCGATTCTAGAGTGCGATACTCCACCAGCAGCTATCGTCGATGAGTATGGCCGATACGATCGCATCTTCACCACACTGTTGGAGAGGGCAGCACAGGACCTAGGCTTATCGCCAAAGCAAGACTTGGAGTTGAGCGCATTTGACGTGGTCACAGCACAGGAGTATCCCGAGTTGCAGAACATAGACGCAGTGCTGATCTCGGGCTCGAGTGAGTGATGGCTTCAATCAACAGTATCGCTATCCTGACTCATGGGAAACAGAGCACAATTCATTTGATAACGATCCATGGATCTTGAAGCTTGTGGACTTTACCAAGAGATTACTAGAGCAAGACCGAATCCGCGTGATCGGTGTTTGCTTCGGCCATCAGATCCTGGGAAGGGCGGCAGGAGCGAAAGTTGGACGCAGCGACGACGGATGGGAGATCTCGGTGATGCCAGTGCAACTTACCGCGAAGGGGAAAGAAATATTTCAACAAGACACCTTGGTATGTCGCAAGCCACTATCATCCTGGTGTCTCTACTTACACTCACAGGCAATCCACCAAATGCACAAGGATGTAGTCTTTGAGTATCCAGAGGGTGTGGAAAAGCTCGGTGGATCACCACGTTGTCTGGTACAAGGCATGTACAAGAAGGGCAAGCTCATCTCCGTGCAAGGGCATCCGGAATTCACGGAGCCCATTGTTTCGTATCTGGTCAAGATGAGAGCCGAGCAGGGTATCTTCGAGGACGAGCAAGCGAAGGATGCGCTGGAGAGGGTTGGTAAGCACCATGATGGGGTAGTGATTGCCAAGGCGTTTCTGAGGTTTTTGATGGAGGACTGAAGGTGCAGCGGGTGGCACTATTGATTGAGCGGATATGTATTGCAGCCTGTAGGCAGCCACGATAGCGAGATCTTGTGTGTATGAATCATTCTGCAAAGGCTGGCCATTGACCCACTTTCGATATCGAGCTGCACTGTCCGGTGGGGTTACTCGATGATAACCCCGCAGTTGCCATTTCGCCTTTCGAGGGCTGGTCATGCGAATATATACGGCAAATTTGTGGTTCCTTCCATCAACAACAAGACCGGCTTCGTGGCGCAATGGTAGCGCGTCAGATTCCAGTTCCTCTGGAGATTCCTGAAGGTTAGGTGTTCAAATCACCTCGAGGTCAATTTTTTGGGAGGGAAGGAGCGATGTGGCACCTTCTTTTTTGCCCGACGTTCCTTCCCGGGCCACTTTTTTGCCAAACCGCACAGAGCAGCCCCTCTGCGACCGTGGCAGCTCCGGCTTGCTCCCCTATGCCTTTCTATCACTGTACAGGCTGTATACATGCGTAATGTTCACTTGATCTTTTTGCTTTGCTCGACCTTATGTTGTCGGCTCCGGTATGAGCCTTCCACATCGAGCCACACTGCCGCGATGGCGCCTGCCTTCTGATCACGAGCACACTCTATCTCCAACACCCACCTATGGTCCGACATGTTTTGCGTACAGACCCAGCATGAGGGATGTTTCCACGTCATAGTCACTCCGCGCGCATGACAGTGCTGATCACAGACATTGCCGGCCCGTACATGCAAATTGCGCGACGCAACGTTTGGGTGTCAAGTTGTAGCGACACCGAGGCGCAGCCCACTAGATCACCGTGCCAGATTGATTCAGCCTCCATCTGCTGGTGGTGCTCGCGGCAGCAGCCACTCCATCAATGATCAAGTGATAGCTACTGCCGCTTCGAGTGAACAACGGTCGCGTGAAGTAATGAAGATGGCGTCATAATGGCCCGCAACTGGTGGCACATTTGGCCCGC